CTATTATTTATTCTGTTATTTTGTATTAAAATTCGAAACTATTATAGAAGGCTATGATTCTTTTAGAAATTAAACAATTTCTACTGCTCTAATTGCACACACAATGTAAAAATTAATTAGAGGTCCTAGCTCATCAGTAGTGAACCCTACCAGTGGTTTCGCCAGTTATTTAGTATGTAAATCATAATTGTGTTTATATAAAATGTTGTAATAAATTTGATTTATTTTTGATGCGTGTGATTCTTTTAAAAATAAATCAATTTCTACTGCACTTACTGCAATGATAAAATAATGGGAGGGCCTGGCTCATCAGTGGTGAACCCTCTCATCGGTTTCGTCAGTTTAATCAACCAGACCGCTGTAATATTTAATATTTCTGTTTCCACCAGACCCTCCCATTATTTTATCATTGCAGTAAGGACAGTAGAAATTTGATTTATTTTTAAAAGAATCATAGGCGTCAAAATAGTTCAAATTTTTTATAACAGATGGCGCTTTAATGCATCATGTTAATATAAGGTATTGTATAAATATTAATTAGATATGATTCATATATAGGATTGCAAGGAAATCTTCCTAGTAAATCATTAAATGAACCAGGCGATAAGGAAGATGGGTGTCTTTTATATAAAACGAGCACAAGCTTTCGGGTAAAAACCCTTCTACAGGCGGTTATCACATAGCAAGATGGATACCAATGGAAAAATATATTTGAGAAGCTCTTGCCATTGGTATCCATCTTGCTATGTGATAGCCGCCTGTAGAAAGGTTTTTACCAGAAAGCTTGTGCTCGTTTTTAAATAAAAGACACCCATCTTCCTTATCGCATGGTTCATTTCATGATTTATGTATGTTATAGAAAAATATTTATATCCAAATTTTATTTCATAGAATAAACTATTCTGTTAAATCGACCGCCAGAAGTCGGGCTTTTCCTTTATAACCTATTGTTGTTTCCCTTTGGCCGGCTCAAACCTTTCTGTAATTATGTAAATATGTTTTTCATTTTTTAGTTTCTTAAGCCTTAAGCCAGGCATTACTTCTATCAAATTATGTTTTCTATATTCCATAAGCTCTTTTATAAAGCTATTTTCTAATCTTCACTAATTTTATTATTATACTTTTAAGATTTTAACCACGACTGCATTACCATAGCATAATTCTCAAGATAATCAAAAATCAACAGAAATTATTTTCATTTATGAAATATATATAACACTTTTACATTAATAATAACAGCTCTGAAATTGACCTTGAAATATTGGCTGAGGGTGCTGAGTATGGATACAAATAGATTGCCTCGAATATGTTTAAATAGAATGAGGCAAATATCCTGTGCTACAGGTGCGCCCATCGGGTTTATAAAACAATTAAGAAATTTACTCAATAATAACGGATCCTCGTGGCTTACTTATTGTAATGATCCTGATTCACTATGGAATGCTATCCCAGGAATATTAAGAACTGCGATAGAGCAAACAATACAAAATGACTTAACAAGAATAACCCAATCAAAGTTATATTCCCACTATAGAGATATATATACAACGTTTACCACCGAAGAATATTTCTTAAGTGAACTCCCTTTTCCTGTCATCAGATTAATCGCACAATTTAGAGTCCTTTCAATTTTTTTCAGAGAACACCATCTGATTTTATTGAGGCGTGACGACCTGAAATGCACTTTCTGTGGATCAGGAATAACAACGGAGATGTTGCACTACTTATTTGACTGTGCTGCTCTGTCTGAGGAAAGACGAAAACTAAATGATAAAACGGGGCAACTTTGTCCTTCATTTCCGGCACTAATTAATGAAATATCAAAGAATAGGTATATAGCGATGGCGATATTTGGATTCCACAAGACTATATCCCGGAAAAAGGCCATACAGTGTTCTCCCCATCCATTGTGAACTGGCGAATCCTGTATAGGGCGAGAGGCCCTAAATAAAGGCTTTTTGTTGTTGTTGTTGTATATAACACTTTTATTTATTAAACCATATATCCTGATATATCGCTTACATTCCAAATCATCCCCAGAAATTTCTACTAAAATTCAGCCATGGAGAGGCCACCACCACCATCCTCACGGGCCATTGACATGTACTGGCAGACATTACACGTATACATCCCGAAACAGACCCTACCTGAATCCACTGTTCAGAAGAGCCACAGACAGTTGATCATCTTCTCTTCAGCTGTCCAGAATTCCTGAGACATAGGATGCAAACAGTTATCCATTTTGGACTGAACCATTTCAATCCTACATCTATGGCCAGCCTTCCAGACTCAACCTCAGCATGGAACTTATTGGTCAACTGGTTCAACTCAGCAATCAAAACTGGACATAGTCAAAATGCTCAACACTAGTCCATACTAGTGAGCTGGACTCCCCGGGTAGTTGGTGTTCTGCGCTCCCTGGGTTATAAATATCTCTCTCTGCCATATTGTCACACATTAATATATTCAAGATGAGGTATGCAGTGGTTTAGCAAAGATGAACGAAGAGAAGTTACTCAAATATTATTTTTTAGGAAGAAAAATATTTATATCAGAATATGATCCATTATCGCGCCATTTGTTATCAAAATTCAAAATTATTATAGACGCGAATGATTCTTTTTAAAAATAAACAATTTCTACTGTCCTTACTGCAATGGAAAAATTAATGGGCGGGCCTTGCTCATCAGTGGTGAACCCTACAAGCGGTTTCGCCAGTTTAATCTACGATACGGCTATCATATTGCATTTTTCGAACTTCCTTTTATAGTAATACTGATGCTAGACTCTTGGAATGGGTATTCTAAATGAACTATGGACATAAGCTTTAAGGACAGCAGAATTACATACAATTATTAATATATAAAATGCTTCGAGCAATCGCTCTTCCGCAAATATCAATTTGTATCTTTTATTATAGCAATTATATTATGATGCATTATAATATCTTAGGATATTTCATTTTGAAATTATATATAAAAAAGAGAGAGATATTTGCTACCCAGTTTCCTGGAGCTCAGAGCGCCAACTCCACGGTAATAAAAGAGAGGCTGATATTAGATACATTTGAAACATAAATAACTTCTATTAACATTTGCTTTGAATGATTTTGTCATTGGTATGCTTATTGAAGATGATTTTTAAAACTTAAAAGGCATATCCTGACACCTCAAAAGAGTATTTCAGATAGGAGAGCTCCATCTATTGAAATATAATAAACTAAACGTGATTCAGGCTCATATATATACTATTAAGGTAGAGGACATTGCAACTGCTGTGATAGAGATGTATGGAGACATCTGAGGCTCTTCATTGGACAGGACAACAACAACAGAAAATTGACATGGACCCAGAACAGCAGCATTACACACCCAAGATAGAGAACATTTAGACTGCTGTGATAGATATGCATGGAGACATCTGTGGCTCTACATTGGACACGACAACAACAACAACAAAAAATAGTTGACAAATCTAAATTTTTTATAAATCAATAAAATTCCAACCACGCTCGCGTTTTGGGCTGTTGACCCTCGTCAGCGTGGTGTAAGCTGCATTTCAACGACCAAATGTGTTGATAATAAAAATGAAAAAGGTATATCCTGATAGATAACATTAACATTCAGATGGCAGAGCGCCAGCCTGAGTTAGAGTATGCATCACGCTGAAGAAGGCCAACAGCCCAAAACGCGTACGTGATTGGCTTTTCCTTGATTCATAAAATAAATGCGTTGAACAAATCTTATGGAATAAACCTATATCACGTTTAAATCAATTTTATTCTACTCGATGTCTCTATAATTATATATATTTTTTCTGAAGAGGACAAAAGGTTATTGTCAAAATGTCGAGAAAATGAAATTTTTCTGGCCGAAGTGTCCCTTATTTTAAAAATATATGCAAGTATAATATACATACATAATAATACATACTATACATACAAACACAATAAATATACATATACACTTGTATATTATTTTATATTATAACAATAATATACTAATATATATAAAGAGACAAGGGTCGCCTCTCCCGTCTTTAGATCAATATCCTCCCGGCAAAATTTCCATCTATATTTTAGTAATAGATTTGGCCAGCCACTTTGCCAGCTAAACACCTTTTTGGCAGATTGTCAAGATTCCATTAGATCCCGTGTGGATCTCATGGAATAAAGTCCGCCCTAGACTGACGAGGGCCATTAGCCCGAAATCATGGTCTCTAGGTGGATGCTTTTCAGTTTGCCAGAGCTGGTGTTGTGGATTTGTCACCGACCCGAGGCCGCTAGTTGCGGCGACGGTGAATAGATGGAGTCTGGTTTAGACGTCTATTTTGACGGGAAGGTGACCCTTGTCTCTTTAGATCAATTTCCTCCCGGCAAAATTTCCAACCAGTATATATGTATTGTGCATGTATGTATAGTATTGTTGTTATATTATTAAAGAACTCGGTGGAGCAGTAGGTAACACCCTCGATTCCCGACAGCCATGAAACGGAATCGAATCCCGCATTGAACACTTTGTTTTAATATGTGAATAGCCTTCACATATTATTCATTGCTACAATTATCATAAACTAGGTTGCTCTTTTTGATAGGTACCTAATAATGTGATTTTGGAACAAGTTATATTTTTATTAATGATAAACGACATATTTTCTGACAATGTTCAATTAAGTGACAGAATTTTCTCATAAGAATTTAAAATAAATATTCCCTCAATAAACACGATTTATATGTATAAACCTGTATTCGATAGATGAAAGATAACCATAAAGAAATTTATAATACAATATAATGCGGCTTATGATTATAAAACGACATTTGAAAATTATCCCGCATGTGTTTCTTTTGAGCGAAAAATCGAAATTTATTCTCAAGGAGAAATAACTATTATTTCTAAACTTAGGGATGAAGTATGAAAGGATGAATTGTGAAGAGTAATGATAAACGGAAAAATAAAAGTGTCCAGGGATGGGAATCAAACCCACAGTGTTCCGCTTACCGGGCATGTACCGCTTAGTGGACATGGCATCTGCCCTGTAATCGGAACACTGTGGGTTCGATTCCCATCCCTGGACACTTCTATTTTTCCGTTCATCATTACTCTTCACAATTCATCCTTTAATACTTCATCTTCAAGATTATAAATATTCGTTATTTCTCCTTGAGAATAAATTTTGATTTTTCATTCAAAAGAAATACATGCGGGATAATTTTCAAATGTCGGTTTACAACCATTAAACATCGCTATTTTGTAAAAATCGAATATTTAAAAGTTTCATCTGAAGCTGTTAAAATGGTGATTAGAATCGGTTGTCTCTCTTCCGACCGTTAAATTGCCATTCCTTCGCCTGGGGCAACTAAACGACACTTCAATTGATTCCAGGTAGATTGTTCAATCTCTCTCTCTCTCTCTCTGGGCAGAATGTGACATTGAACGAGACGACACCCAGTGGGATTCGTCTGATATAAATAATATGTAATTATATTTTGTTTTTATATATATAATTAACCCTATATAATCATATATGTACATTGCAATAAATCAATTTCAATCTTAATCTCTCTTTCGCCTCCTGCGAAGTGCCCCTGGATCTGCAGGCCTGGCTCTTCGGCGTCGGCCTCCATCCCGAGGCAATGAAGCTAACCAGTGTAGCGAAGGCTACCATCTACAAGTACCATCTTGGTCTTGAGGTGGACAACGCCAGTCAACACCTCGACCTGCCCACTCTGTGGGAAAGAACTCTCGCAGTCCATCAGTGGCGGAGTCTTTCCCGCAGTGGGCGACACCAATGAAGCCTGTAAAGATTTCATTATGTATATTCATCCTTATTACTTTCATAATTACTTATTATTTTTATTTCTTTTTAGTTTTCATTTATCACTATAATAACACAGGTCTACAAAAAAAAAACTTATTTTTTTGCACAAGAGAACCTGATGGTGTTTCTAGTGTAACTTTTCATGCTGAACTCAAAAATCTAATCAGAAATTTCCCATCACCCATGGTTTTTGCCTGATATTCTTTTTTTAGTATTGCGATAAATACAGTAATAAATGCTTGAATATATGAATATATATGCCATAATAAATGAAACTGCTTTTGAAAAAGATAGAATATGAAAAATACGGTTGGAAAATATGCAGCGATTTGAAAGTCGTTGCTCTCTTGCGTGGATTACAGCTTGGATATACAAAATTTGGTTGTTTTCTGTGTGAGTGGGATAGCAGAGATAGGGAAAGGCATTACATTAAAAAAATCTGGCCAAACCGTAAAATCTTTACTCCAGGATATAAAAATATTGCAAATCTACCCCTGATCGATTCAGAAAATATTTACTTACCACCATTACATATTAAACTGGGATTAATGAAGAACTTTGTCAAGGCAATGGATCGAAATGCCAGTGGATTTGCCTACCTAAAACAAAATATTTCTAATATAAGTGAAGCGAAGATTAAAGAAGGCATTTTCGTTGGACCTCAGATTCGAGAATTGAAGCAGGATGGAAATTTTCAAAATAGTTTGAATGAAATTGAAGCAGCAGCATGGAATTCCTTTAGAAACGTTTGCAAAAACTTCTTAGGAAGTGTCAAGGTTGAAAATTACCGAGACATAGTTAATGATCTGTTGCTTTCCTACAAGGCACTGGGATGTAACATGTCCCTCAAGATCCATTTCCTGCATTCACATCTAGATTTCTTTCCAGACAATCTTGGCGCAGTTAGCGATGAGCATGGTGAGAGGTTTCATCAAGATATATCAAGCATGGAGAAGCGGTACCAAGGTAAATGGAGTCCCGCTATGCTTGCCGACTACTGCTGGACACTCAAGAGGGATCTACCACAAGCAAAGTATAGAAGAAAATCCACTGTCACTGCTTTTCAATAAATAAATATGTTTCGTTCATATATGCCTATATATTGACAATATTTCAAAATTTCAAGTAGGTGTATCTCAGAAATATTGCGTAATAGAAATAACTAATGGTATATTTGGATTCAGGACATGTAGATAAGATGCTATTTCTTTGTGGACAAAGAAAAATATTTTTTGATAAACCAGTGTAATGTAATAAGGGTTATGCAAAACTGTATTTATCCCAATACTAAAAAAGACCGTCACGCAAAACCAATAGGTGATGGGAAATATCTGATTAGATTTTTGAGTTCAGCATGAAAAGTTACACTAGAAACATAATCAGGTTCTCTTGTGCAAAAATCTTGTTGACCAGTGTAATTTATGAACGATGTAATAAAAGTAGATTCAATCTCAATATCTCTCTACTCAAAACACAACGATGCATTTTAACCTAAATTTCAGAATATACACTTTTATATCGAGTTATTATGTATTATTGAACGACGTTTAACAAGTTTCACCACCAATGTTTCTTTTTACAGAACGAAAAATCGCAATTTTAATTATTGTAAGGAGAAAAAACGACTATTCCTATCTTTAGGGATGAAGTATGAAAGGATGAATTGTGAGGAGTAATGATAAACGGAAAAATAAAAGTGTACAGGGATGGGAATCAAATCCATAGTATTACGCTTACCTACCCGGTTTATTATTTTGACTCGCTTATTATACCAAAGTATTTATTATTTTATTAACAGAGTATCATTTTTTATATTTTGCTACTCTCTAAACTTCCCTAATTTCTTATCTTTTTTCTATCATTCATATTTTGTTCTTGTCTTAAATTTCTGTGTCATCCTGAAATTTGTCTTTCCTAATTTTCAACGTGGCAATATGAAAATCAAGAAAAAAATAAATTCCTGATCGTACAACTGAAAATAATGTGTTGCTGATTCAGTTTCACGATTATAAAATGCCTTTTTTCTTAATTTTTCTCTACCTGATCCAAGTACAAATTCAATTTTGTTCTATTTTTCAAATATGAACATTTGTAAAATTTGTCATCCATAATGGTTTGTTTATTTCTAAATAAGTGAACAAGTCGACAATAATCAACACAAGGTTTCTAGTACTAAAAACACAATCAGGAATGTCATTAATACAATATAGTTAAGGAGAGTGTTGTGAAAAGGTTCCAATTACAAAAGATCTAAACGTTAACGTCTTTGTTTTCCTAACCCCATTGTTGGGTGGATTGTTGGGCACAGCGGGTGGTGGCTGGAAATTGGATTTAAACGGTCGACTGCGGAGAAATTGGAAAGCTGATTGAGCCTCTGTTGTAATGGGGATAATTCGAAACCTCGTAAACAATGATCCTATCATAAACTCGGTTTGTTCCTTACATTCTTCTATTATCTATTTTTATTGATGGTCGGTGGAAGGATGGTCTAAACTGTTGGTTTGCGACCGTTACGACTCAGGTTCGATTCCCGCATTGGGCACTTTTTTTTTTATATGAAAAAAAAAAGCTCAAATTGCCCCCGATTCTTGCAAAAGTCCAACCCCACCAGCGAGTGCAAGTAACTAAACGGGACTCTGGAACATTTGTAAGTACAAAGTCGAACTGTTTTTCACATGTATAGACATGTGGTGCACTTACAGTAAAAGCAGTCGCCTACTTCTACCCACCATGAATATCATGGCCTGTACCACATGTACTAGGGATAAGCAAAAAATCTATTTTTCTCTTGTAGTAATTTTTTTTTTGTAAGTTAAATAAAATATTGTAACAAAGTATTTATTATTTTTATTATTTTTTATTAACAGAGTGGTCATTTTTATGTTTATATTTTGTTACTCTGTAAATTTCCCTCGTGGCTTATCTTTTGTTTACCATTCTTAGTTTGTCCTTGCCTGAAATAAATTGTTGATTCCTCCTGAAGTTTTTGTCTTCCCTAATTTTCCACGTGGCAATATTTATTCTAAAATTAGGTATTTAATTTTAGATATTTCACAGAGCTTCTCTCTCTCTCTCTCTAGCAAAAAATATATATTTGACCAATTACTCAACAAATAAAACAGACAAAACACAAGACACACACGTGTAGGTGTGTGTTTTATAATATAAAATCTTAAACTAAAATTAAAACCATATTCGCATACATATGTTATAGTCAAATTCAAGAGATATGCCACACACACACTCAAATAATATAAATTATAAATTATTCATTGAATATAAACAATTTTATTTTATTACTGCGGACTACTGTTTTCTCAACAACCAATGGAACGTCTTAGCTACAGTGTTCAGACGATGATAGAAAACCGCTGTGCTAAAGCGCCACAATACGCGAATATAAAGTCTAACATTTGTAAATTTTTCTAAAGGATAATACTTGTTTTTAACTTTTTTTTATCCCTAGTACACGTGGTACAGGCCATGATAATCATGGTGGATAGAAGTTGGCTACTGCTTTTTACTGTAAGTGCACCACATGTCTACACATGTGAAAAGCAGTTCGAGTTTTGCACTTACAAATGAGCCATAGCCCCTTTTAGTTACTTGCACTCGCTGGTGGCATGTCCAATGTATTTACTGATGACAGTTTAGGGGTGTTCAGGTAACCTATGTACATATTTACTTTGTAATCAAAATTCGGCAACTTCCCAAACTACGACAAAGTATATTAAATGCCTTGATATGGACCAGGCTATGAATTATGATGAATTGACTCAATTTATGAAAGATTGTTTTAAGAATAGGTTTCATAAGAAAACGTATATCGTTTTGAAACATGAGTGGCAAAGAATTCTCAAATGTAATTATTTTAAGATAATGAACTTAGGAAGGCATTAACCAATAAGGACGAGCCAATGAAATGTTAGATAAACTCGTGGCTGAGATTTAACTTTACAAAGTTCATAGCTCCAATTTACACAAGAACTTGTATTTAAATGGTCAATTTTCAAGTTATTATAGGGATTTATTTTTCCGTTTATAATTACTCTTCACAATTCATCCTTTCATACTTCATCTTTAAGGTTATAAATAATCGTTATTTCTCCTTAAAATAAATTTCGATTTTTCGTTCAAAAGAAATACATGCGGGATAATTTTCAAATGTCATTCTACAATCAAAACGCCGCATTATATTGTATTATAGAGGCTTCGTTAGCATATCTGTTTCCAAAAACATATTTAAATTAATAA